TTATGTCATGTAAATATTTCAGCAAACCCTGATAAGTTTCTGGGTGGGCTGAAGCATAAATGCTAGAGTAAACTAAGAATGCATTCGTCCATCTACTGATATTTTGAATCTTATTGCTAGGTTTAACAACCTCTCTTGTAACCAACTCCCCTTTTTCATTAAAAAATATTTTTTTCTCTGAAGATTCTGTCAGGGAAGTGTTATCAAGCAACAAACTAATCTCTATGTATGCTGAACTAATGATTTTAGACTTCAACGAGTTAGCGACATTGATAGCCAATAGTGAATGAATGCTATCTACATATTGATTCTCGTAACCAATGCTTGTACCTGATTGAGATTCAATGGCCAAAGCAGGCACAGGTGCTGGGGCCAGTGGGGTAGAGTTTGACTTTCTGGCACCAACTACATTCTCTTGGGCGGCGATGCTTCCTGAAGGACCTGGTTCCTGAACTGTATGATTATCGTCAACATCTATCGCTACCGCTGGTCGCTCTTGTCTTGACCTCTTTGACCTTGATGCTTTGCCCTCGTTGTCTCTCAGTCTGCAATTCCGCTTAGTCTTATTTTTGGGAGGCATTTCCGCTCGTTAGAGTAAATAACAAACAAAAATTACTAATTGTAATTCACTAGATACAATTTTTTTGATAAACTTGCTACGGGCAAAATTTGCAACAATATATTCAAAATGGCTGTCGTGTCACATTTAATCGGGCTGTAATTCCAGCACAATCCAGAGAAAATATATACGTTGGATTAAAAAAGTATTAAGAACATACAAATTTTATTATCCATTAACCAAAATTTAAATATATTTAAGGCAGATGCAAAAAATTTCTTACAAATATTATGAAAAAACTTGACAAAGAAATATTCAACCTACTCTGCATCCAGCAAGTTGATGAAAAGAATGTTGATCCCGAGTTTTCCGACTTATATATACCAAAGGCCGCAGGCCGATCGCGACCAAAAAATTAATACCTTTTCCCGTAAAATAAAGTCATCTGATTTTATATGCATAAAATAGATGATATTTTCATTTATTTTCTTTTACGGAAATACTCTGTAGAACAATTGGACATGTTCAACAAACAAGCTTTTTATTTTACATAAAGACATTCATGACATTTCATTAATTAAATGCAAAATATATCAATTTAGCGAAAATACAGTTAATACAAGTAACTTTAAAAACGTTGGTAATATTCAAGTATATTAAATATTGTAAGACATTAATTATTCCATTATAAAAGCCAGTCGTTTACGCCAGGAACTCTCTATTTCAAATGAAATATTGCAAAATATTAAATCAATGTATGATGCAAAATAACGTGGTATTAAAAAAGAATGACGGATTCTAAACATCTGTTGTAGTCATAACTTTTATAATACAGATAAAGTGCATAACATAGATTTTTTTTGCCATGTGCTGGATTTTATCTATTTGATAAAAACTATAAAAGTTAATCCACGGGTATTCTATCAACAGTCATAAATGAGACCGTATAAAGCGAGGCCCTGTGTCGCAGTAGGTGCTGGCACGAAAAAGATTCCTCACGGCTCAGTGGCCCTAAGTGCCGAACATAAGACAAAATATGCAAGTGGTGGTGTCTACATAGGAGTCAAAAATTCTCGAGAGGGATTTGGACTTTAAACAAAATACAACCAATCAAACAATCCAGGCTAAACAAAATCATTTGCTTTAAGATGTAAATACACTGTAATTTAAAACTTCTTTTTGTGATTTCTTTGAGTAATAAAATAAATATTTGGCAAAATGTTCCTTTAAAACAAGAAATCATTCTTTATACCTCATACAAAGTGAATTTCTTTCAATGAAATATATGGAAATAACAAACTGTTTTCAAGCCCAAAAGTCCATCAAACAATACAAAATAAGAATAAAAAAAAACAAGGACCACAAAACATCAGAGGTGAGATCAGGTATCATGAAGGATTGAGCATCTCCTGCCGAGCGGTCAAATGCGCAGTGTGCTTCTTGTCATGATCAGGATATAAAGGAAAAATCCGTCGACAAGTCAGTGTGTAAATAATGGCCGAACAATAAGTATAAAAAGCGTCAGTCAGCATTTGAATATATGATAAATTTGCTGAAAAGATCATTGTCTCGATCATAGAACTTACGAAATGATGAATTTAAACGAGACTCCTGATAGTCTTGTTTCAGCAACTTGTTTGTCAATAACTTACTTGTTCATAGGTAGAGCATGCTCTTGCCTATCGAATCAACTGAGATATACCAGGTATAAAACCCGTATGCAGGTGATGAAGGTATATTGCTGCCTAAGTAAGAGAAGTTGACAATTGAAAAGTTAAAGTCATTCTCGTTTGTCATAAGGCTTGGCTGTTGGATTACCATTAATGTCCTTTTCTAGTAAAATATCTTAATATGAAACAGATGTGTCAAACTTTATGGTATTTTTTTTTTATTTCAAGCTCATCGGGATATATCGTATCGATATGAGAATGAAAATAACCATTGTTAATTAACAATACGTCGTCGATATATCTAAATGTCGAAATGAAGGCCAGAGCAAGTGATTTCTTCTTTTCACGTATAAATGTCTAAGTGCCTGCAGAAATGACTGATATTTATACTCCCTGCCCCCCCCCCCCCTTTCGTTCTCAAATGTAAAGTTAAGTCCAGCAGTTACATCTTTATACAAATATTGGTACATGTTTTATTTGGCCATATGTATTTTTTGTCCTGCTAGTAAGTCTGCTCTCCAATTTTAATTACAACTACATAGTACGCAGGAGGAATTTAAAAAAAAGAGATCGGAATAATGGTCACAGAATCCCTTTTTTCTTCATTTCTCATGCATATCTGTACTTTCGACATTTAACAGCTGTATTTACTTTGGTTATAGATTTAGAGAAATAAATGTTTAATTTTCTTCTGCTTCGTACAAATGAATATTCTGATGAAATTATTAAATTGAAAATTATGATAGCTAGTTCTACAATACTTCATTAATTTTGTGTTTTTAATTTCTTTGAGTTTCTTAGAATTTTCATTTGATAAACACTACTTTTTAGATATATAGTTGTACAGAACTCCTGAACTTTCACATTAAATGCTATCAATATTTCTTGTAGAGTAAATTAAGATGTTGTTTGAACATTAATTAGATCCAGATATATATATATATCTTGACCTCGAGGAATTATAGAAAACTTAGAAATATAGTATTTATCTTAGGAATAGTAAATAAATTCTATTTGGATGTGGACTATTATTTTTCAAAATGACGTATTATAAAAATTTATAAGGAAAATTTTTGATATATTTAAAATACATTCGTACATCTTTTATTATTGAAGTCAAGTGTCTAAAAAAGGATAATTTATCATTGAATAATTCCCATCTCACTGGTTGTTTGAGATTCAACATTGAAGGAATAGGCAATATTAATAAAGTGTGTTTGTTTATTTAAATATATATATATATATATATATATATATATATATATATATATATATATATATATATATATATATATATATATATATATATATATATATATATATATATATATATATATATATATATATATATATATATATATATATATATATATATATATATATATATATATATATATATATATAAAGTTATATATCATCTGACATATATTACGCATGATAGGGATACAGAAAATTATATTTGAATATAAAATAATAAAAAAAAAAGTAATAAGAGAAAAACCCAATATTTGTGTCACTCCTTCACAGTATCTGTGTATATGAATAATTCTTTTCATACCACGTACATTTCAAATATATCTTTAAATAAATATTAGATAATTTTAAACGAAGAGGAATATTGGTATTTCTAATTTAAGATTTAAGTTAATATTTAAAGTGTTGTGTAGTGTATTAGTATATTAGTGTATATCAGTTATTTAGAATTTTGTTACGAATAAATGCGCCCCAAAAGTTTATAATGGAATGACAGCTTTTGGAAACCATGCATTACAACATTCATCAATACCTTATAAGAGATTGAAATAAAAGAGTATAATTTCGATCAGTATTGGTAGTTAATATTTCTCTGTTTTTTTAATTACTAAGCAAGTAAAATTTCCAAGGACAGATTTCATATTAAAGTGCATGCAAATGAATTTAATTAACCATACCACTAAAGGTGTTTCTTAATTAATTTGTTGACCTAAGATAAACAAATCATTATTTTTATTAATTTCCTTTTCGTATGTAATCTGAGACGTTAAGACAACCAGTCAAGAGATTTCCGAAACTTTGCACTTTACTGTACATTTTATTTGCTTTCTCGTAAATATGAGCATGTAATTGCTCTAATATAAACTTTATGATGCTGTTAATGTCCCGAGAGAGGTCTTTTTTTTTAAACATATAACTTGTTTATGACATATTTAAGATGGAAGCGTTGAAAGTCAAAGTAAAAAAAATTCTAAATTTTTAATACGATATTGGGTTAGAGAAAGAAATGACGCAAAACTTTAAAAAAAAAGTGATTATAATAAAATAATAATTCTAAGTTGCAGAAGATTTGAAAATTAAATATCATTATGTTTTGCAAAAGCTCCAAATTTTAATTCCTTGACAAAAATTGAATAACAATGTACCTGTAAAGAAAAAGAAAGGGACGCCAGTTAATAAACCCCAATTGGTTAAGTTATCCACATGCGTAACCCGATTCATTTGTGCTTAGATGCATTCATGTGACTCTAAATAAAATAAAACAGAAACCTTGCACTTAATCAAAAATAATTATCAGTGTGGTAAACCATATATGTCGGAACCCTTACAAAGTATTTTGTAGAATAGCTCTCGTTCCTTGTTGTTTGTTTGTAGATCACATGATGAATAAATTTACAATTTTTTGTGAACAAACACCATCTTGTTTGGGAATATATATAAAAGTGAACATTTTACCAAGCCAAGTAAAACATACAATTCCACTGTTAGAACAATAAAGCATACCGAATAAGACGAAAATGAAGCTCTTGAGCGTCTGTTGCTTGCTATTCATTTCTGTTTTCCTTTATTCTGAGGCCAAGAGTGAGTGCAAGTGCAAACCCCAGTATCCACAAGAAGCCTTCTGTGATGATAACGCGTTTGGTAAGTTAGTTTTATTTAAAAGTTGAAATATATTTTCCATTGCTTAAGACGCCAATTTACTAAAAATAATTCATCTCTAACATGTGAAAAACCCATTCATGAAGAGGAAAATTGCTGATTAAATACCTTTATAATTAATTTTACAATAAACAGACGTTGCTCAATATCCAAATGCGTTAAAAAAAATTCATTGTACAAACACTTCTACGGAAGACCATTGATTCATGCAAAAAATAATTATAATTTCTTATTTTATCACAAAGGCATATCATTAATGTTCCCTTCGGTCAAAGATGGAATGCTCTTTGGCGATGCTATTGGTCGGTCCATTTCTTTCTTAGTTGCCGCCCGCGTGGCGCAGTGGTAAGAGCGTCTGCTCTAGAGTTGCGAAGTAAGGAGTTGATCCTTCACTGAAAGAAAAACCTAGTGAATTTAACTAGTGTGTTTCGTAAAGCGTTGGTCATGATTAGTAAACTTTCAGTTTACTGGTTAAGATAGTGAGTTGTGGAGCGGTGGTCGTATAGATACTTAGATACCCAGTGAAAGTTACTCATCAATTCTAAATTTACTAATCTTATCTAGTAAATATACCAATATCTGGTAAAACTACTATTAAGGTAGTGATGTATGGACAGTGAATCTACTAGTTTTCTTCGTGACATTAACTAGTTATTTTTTTACAGTGTTACGTCGCGGGTTTGAATCCCACTGTGGGACGTGTAGACCGGTAATTCGGATGACACCGTATTAACCGAGTACTGTGTCACAATATACACTTATTTAATGACTACGAGGTAAACAGTCAAACTATTGTCTCGAGGTAGTGGGGAAGACCGAGGAATTCGGCCGAGGACAACAGTTTCCCAGGTCTTCCCCACTACCGATGGACAACAGTTTGACTGTTTCACCGAGTAGTCATTGAATAAGTGTTTTATTACCTAACCTACATGTACTATATAATTAATGAAATTGGAATAAAAACACCCAAACAATCATGATCAATATAGAGTTTTAACAACTGTTTATTCGCATACTTGACTACTAGTATTAATTAGCTGAACATATTAAATTAATATTTACTAATTTAAAGTAATACTTAATAAATTGATTGATTGTGTGTTTAATTTCAATTTATTTAATTATATAGCAGTGATGTCAAAATGCTTGAATATCAAGATGACGCTTTAAACAGGCAACAGTTCATTCTGTGACCCGGTCAACAGTTCTACTGTTTCATGATAATGCAAAAACATAAAATAAACCTCGAAACAGTTCAAAATGCCTAATAACAACTTATACAGTAGGTTAGGTAATAATAGGTGCTGTAACGAAAAAGATCCCTTCCTACTCAATGGCCCTGAATGGCGAGTATAGGAAATAAATTGCAACTCTCCACAGACAAGTGGTGGCGTCTCCATATGAGTGAAAAATTCTCCAAAGGGACGTTAAAAAATATATACATGTACTATCAATCAATCAATCTCTTTTGGTTATGTTTGTAATAATTTATTTCTTTCAGTTATCAAAGCAAAGATATTAAGCAGAAAGAAACTGTCATCTGGTCCTGGTTCAGAAAATCGTGTTTATAAAGTCAAAGTCTTAAAGGATTACAAGGTATTACAAGTACATGTAACTTTATTTAAGTGACAATTAACTTTCTGTATGTAGAAATAATATGGGAACAGAAAGCAGCATTCCTTTCAATTTTCATATATTTTTTTTTTCAGAACACCTTCGATCCTATTCGAGGAATAGAAAAGATTTACACAAGTTCGTCACGTGAACCATGTGGTGTATATTTCAGAAGGAAAGCAACATATATTATAAGTGGTAGGTGTATATTTCTTTTTCTGTCATTACAAATTTCATTTAAAAGACCTTAAGTAATATGTATCAAAGTATCGTTGGACCAATCTGAAATCCCTTCAAATCCTATTTTCGTGGTTCTGTTTAATCCAAGCTTCAGACGCCAATACAGTTGGATGGACAGGCTATTATTCTTTCTCTTGAATGTAACATTACTTTTAAAACATTTTTACAGGTAAAAATTCGTAGTTATACAACATGTTAATACCGTAATTTTACCATTTCAGGCCACAAATCCGGTGCTTATGGAAAGTTAACAACAAGTGCTTGTTCCTGGAGCCAAAAGATCTGCACTATCACATCCTTCCAAAAGTTTGCTCTCAAGACTGGCCTGTACAAAAAGAATTGCCAGTGTAAGGTACGATGTGGCGAGATTTACCTAACTTTATAGTTTTTAAGATTGACAAAATTATAATTTGGATGATTTTAACTAATCTTCAAGAATAAAAATGTAGGATAACATGTAATACCTCCTTTTGTTTGCAAGAAAGGAAAAGACAGTGAAACATAGTGAAAATAAGCAAAATAAAAAAAATCTTAATATTTAAAGCTGAATAACTTCTAATTACTTCAATTGATTGATAATTTAAATGGATAAAAAAATGTGATTACTTTTTTTTAGATTTTGGATTGTTCGGAGGGATATTGTAATCCGCCAACAGGAGAGAACTGCGTAATTAAATCCAACAGAAACTGCTTCCTGAAAAAGAACGCATGCGTCCAAAAGTCTTCCTATGATGCCCTGCAGTGTGGTTGGAAATCAAATGCATGTTCTTCGAAACCTCACTATGGAACCAGCAAGGAGGTCGTCTACGAACCCGTCGACACGGAAGTTCCGGACCACGTCTACACTTCCGGTGAACATGTGGTCCACAAACTCTTTAATCCGCAGGTAAAACCAGATCAACATAAAGGACCGGAAGACAAAAGCATTGTCATAGAACCTTACACAAAGCATGTGTATGAAAATATTGACCATGTTTGACAAAAAGTTGTTGGCCTCTAGATGCTGTCGTTTTAAAAAATAACACATTTCAATTATATATATGATTATTTTAGATAAATACCACTGAATTAAATTTTACATCATGTAAGCAATTTCTATTTGCCTTCCAATTATCTTTAATAAACTACCTGGTAGTTACTGTAAACCAACTTTTATTCGCGACGACTTTATTTCGCGATTTACAGGGGATAAAGAACTTCGCGACGATTAATTTTCGCGATTAAGCCTTTTTGTAAGTGTCTTTAATAGAAAAAGAGACTAAAAGGATCCTTTCGCGACGAGAAATATTCGCGATGACGAGGCTCTCGCGAACCTCGCGAAAATTTCTCGCACGCGAATAAAAGTTGGTTTACAGTATTTTGTTAAAGACCCTTACATTTCTGTTCTACATCAAATATATTGAAATATATTTTTTTATCCCATAGTTTTATTAAGACACCTCTTATAGGGATTACATATTTCCTCGGGATTTTTTTAAAATCGGAACAAAATTAAACTTTTATGCAAAGCAAAGTCTTAGTTTCACATTAATTAAACTGTGACAAACTCTTGATATTGCATGCTGCTTATTTGTCTTTGTGGTAAAGATTTGTGTGTGTTTTTTCTACAATAGTCTAGAATCTTTGATGTGTGTTTTCTACAATAGTCTAGAATCTTTGACGCAAGCTCCTCATACCTGTTACTAAAAAAAATCAGTTTTATTTTCAATAAAGATTTTTTATACAAATGTATCGCCTTATTGTAATTAACCTCCAAATATGTATTGATTTAATTCTTAAAGTATACTGTGTGCATCGACAAGGGTATATGTACATGTATGTGTATGTGTGATAACTAAAAAGAGTTTCAAACACACAAAATTTAAGTGTTAAAATCGATATCTCTGTCTGTTCGTCAGCCACTTCTATGTTTCTCTGGTTAATGAAATAAAGGTGTTCCTTGGCCCACTGACGAAATCAACAGATTTTAAACTAGACTTGGCAAAATGCTTTTTCTGACATGCACAAGGGGTGTAGCACCGAGCGCGTATGGAAAAATTAGTCGCGGGAAAGTTAGTAGACAATTGACAGGTCAAACCGGGAATGGTCAAATACGTCACACCTAACAAACATACATGTAAACGCTCACACGTAGACATTCACATATGACAACACAAACGTAAACACACATAATAGAAATAATAAAAACATTTAATTACATGTACTTACACTGGTTACATGCACAAAAGCCAATGATGCACCACGTTTTACTATATCTTTAAAATCCAGGACATTGCAATTTTAAAAAGGCGATCAAATAAGCATGAAGTATACGTCTCCTTCCATTGCAATGCATTTTGTTTGTTAACTGAATTTTTTACCTGTAAGTGCAAAACTGATCTTTGTTGAAATTAAAATACTAGTTATGACAATAAATTAAACATTTCAAAGATGGATAAAGTGATACATTTTAAGAAATACTTGATGGTATACCTTTAAATATGATCTAAATTTAGTAATCTTATTACATCATTCTTTTTATTGAAATATATCATATTTCAGCATGCGGTTGTTATAAAATTTAGTGCAATATCTCAATTGAAATAAGATGGAAAGTGCAAGAAATCCTTTTGGGTTTGTCAAACTTTAACTTTTTGCAAGGTTCTAACTGCGCCTTGGACACCACCACACAATCTCTGACATACACTTTAGAAATACCTCGATATATCGGTACATCCATTAGGTATATGTACATGTATGTACTCCGTTGCCGATGACAAGATGTTAACAAGCTCACTGATTCCTCTGTTTCCATGACTTTATGTAAGTTACTTAACTCACCTTCGAATAAAATCGTATAAGGTACATACACGTCTGTTACAGAAGCGTTCATTAATTTGACATAAAGCGATTTACTTACAAAGGGTTCCCGGTATTTTGATATGTAAATATTATAATTGTAAATAACATAAGGCTTTGCTAACTTGAAATTGGCCCTGGCAATGGCGGAGTGTGAATTCTGATGTCATCGATTTCAAACATCAGGATGACGTGATATAAGATGGCTGTTGTATCCGAAAATCGCATTACATGACGAAAAACCTGAAGTAATCCAGAGTGCATTAAATACAAACGGTTACTTTTTCTGGATGAATTTAAAAAGAAAATGGGGGGGGGGGGTTATTTCTGAATCGTAAATATTCCCCTACTCTTCCATTTGTAACCTTACAAACTAGATTTTGAAAAATAATTGTTGGAATATTCCGATGAATAAGTTATTTCCGGGGTTTTATATTATTTCCTTTAAGAAAGTAAAGATTTTTTTTACTTAAAAAAGCCAAATGAAAACGTATCTGTTGCAAAAGAAGCTATAAAGAAGTCTAATTAGCATAAATCTAATACATATCTTCAACACCGACATCATTATATATATAGCGTTCCCAGATTACTTTTGAGATTTTTTTTTTCGAAAACTGTCTTCTCCAATGATTTTTTAAATAAAATATTTATACATTTTGAAATCATTTTTCATTAAATATTTATTTTATACCTTCAACAACACCTTTTTATGCTCGAGATATGATGGTAATAATGGATAGAAATATTTAGTGGATCTCGTGTAAATCAAAGTTCACTGTCACATACGCTCCTCTGGTCTCTGACCAGTAGAGCTAAACACTGTTTTAGTGTCCTTTCCTGGCCGACAGGCTTAAAATGGCCCGACTGAAAAAAAACCTCTAAAATAAACTGAAACCCAGTTGCAAACTACCATGTGTTAATTATAAGATTAAGTAATAGATCATTTTGTGTAACATGTGCGCATGGAATTCATGGACCAGAAAAAGGAAAACTAGCCGGAGAGAGATTGTAGAATAAAACTAAAAACGAACAAAAAAAGCAAAAATAGAAGACAAATATTTAACACTGTTTTATCTCCTTCCATTCATTGCGGAAGAAACTCAAGAGAAAAAAGAAAAGAAAAAATGATCCAATAAAACGTCGTAAAAATTGCAAAAGTAATCACATACTTCCGCAATGAATGGAAGGAGATAAAACAGTGTTAAATATTTGTCTTCTATTTTTGCTTTCTTTGTTCGTTTTTAGTTTTATTCTACAATCTCTCTCCGGCTAGTTTTCCTTTTTCTTTAATCTTGGTTTTCTTCCATATTAAGACAAGGAAATTGTACATGAAAGACATACAATCGTCATGTGTATTTACTGTTTATATAATACGTGCTTTTTCCCTTTGATATTTAATTGATTTTATTCTTTAATCTGATACATATTCGATAAGAGAAAACAAAATATTCCATACTAGTATTTAATGTTACGTATTTGCATTTCATGTAACAAATTTAAACTATAAAAAATTAGTCGAATAATTAATGGAAATTAATTAGCGGTCGCATAGGGAGTTTTATCTTCTCCGTTTACTTGTCATCGGTAAAATTTATTTTGCACCCGAACATTAACAGACGCAAATGACTAATGAGAAGACGATTGTACCCTTATTTGTAAAAACTATAAAAGCTGAATCTTTAAGAAAATTGGAGAGAGAGTGGAATTGACATATGGAGTTCGTGATAACTGCTACATATTTAAATGGTTTTTCAGGAAGAAGGAAGAATGGAAAGAGGCCGATTGGAAAAACTTCATTCGAAAATCGTATACCTCCTCGGATGTGAAGAGGACCCTCTGTATTTAATTAACATATCATGTATAATTGCAAGAGCAAACTTTAATATATGACAGTAATTACTTATATTATTCTGCGCCTTAAAATATAGGCATATATCGATCTGGTATATGATATAAGTTTTACCGAATAGTTTGGGTTTTTTTTTATCAAATGTGAATTAAACTGCCCCTCTGGTTCCTCAGATTAACCCTGTCTGACCTTTTTCCTTGATGAATAAACACCAATGGTACATGTAGGCAAGATCGTGAAAAAGTGAAAGTTCACTAAAATCTCATTACAGCTGCGCATAGGGCAATTTTGAACATATTTGAGCAAAAGTTGAAGAAGGTGTATCGATGTAAATGTGATCTTCGTCCAATAGTGTGGATGAAGGAAAATATTGTATTCATTTTTGTTTAATCTAAGATCATGCTTTCAGAGGATTATTAAGGTAAGCTGATGAAAGAAATATTTAATTCATACACATCTTTTTATTTAATTTTCAGAATATCTTTAATATTAAAATATGTTTAGGCAAAGATGCATGAATTGATGACAGTTAACAATTTTTTTTTTTAATTCTTATCAATATAAACATCATTATAATTAAAGTGAAACGTAATAAAGTTCATATTAACTTCGTTGAACCTGGAGGCCGAATATTGCTACGAAGCAAGAGGTAGATCGATGGTAGCAATTTTACGTTAGACTTTCGCAAGAAGCACTACTTTTACAATATACGGCTTACTTTTACATCAGGAAAATATACGGGAGATTTTTTGCGATATAAATACTTAGCTTTACAGTTAATTAAACAGCCATTTTAAAGCCCATGTTACGTTATCTAGGAAGGGAACGAAAACAATAATACGTTTACCCCCCTCCCTTCCAAACTTAACATACAACTGCCAAGTTTTCCTACCGAAATGTTATTTCCTCTTTATTTTATTCCTTAGGAAAATAAAAATAAGAGAAGCTATGCCACATGTATTAGCTATTTTATGTAAATCTTTTCTGCCTCCAATAATATCTTGTGTTGGTGAATAATGTTATACCATATCTTGAATAATATTATACATGTACATTATTTATTTATTACCTCTATTAATGTGTTCTTATCAATTATCAATCAATATTCAATTTCTGTACCTCCACGCATAACTCAGGTTTCACTGCTGAAGTAAGTCGTTAACTGTAAAATCAGTGCTTCTCGCAAAAGTCCAATGGACTCACATCTATGGCACAAAAATAAGATAAACCTAGTTTCACATTTGATAAACTAGGTTTATCGACTGTAAACTATAGTTTACAAACCGTAAACTATAGTTAACGATTCGTTAAGTATAGTTAACGATTCGTTAAGTATAGTTTTCATCTGTAAAACTATATTTAACGGTTGTTAACTATAATTTACGAATGATAATCTAAGTTTATCTGTCTGTAATAAGCG